AAAGGCGACAGAGAGAGGGCATATAAAGCGATAAAATATCTAATTCACCAAACCTTATCCGAGGAGGAACGGGCGGAGACTCCCCATTCTCCGCATCTTCTTCTACGCGGAGACGAGAGGAGTTCAGAGCCCCGTTCGTGGATTTATGCCGGGCGGTAAATTAAATTGAAGCGCCCGTTGACGAGCACCATCTGTAATGCCATCACTTATTCATGGCGGAGCGCTCAGGTGAATCGGCCCCCCATCCCGTCCTATTAATATCACTCCACTCGTGTACCGAGTGCAACAACTCGGCGAGATGGAGGCGGAAACGCTTGGCGAATCAATTGCCGAAAACTCTGTAGAAAGAGATGGATGGTTACATCGCCAAACCACAATAAAATATAAAAATTTTACCGGCTCCTCCACCTCAAATAAAACGTATCATTTATTTATATCTTTGTTGCACAAAAAAAAAACGTTATCTTGGCTACTCATGAATGAAATAAACAACACCCAGTAGCCAATGTACATATTCATTCATCCGAGAATTGCAAAACAACACTAACGATAAACCGTAGCGACGCGGTGCTCATAGATCTTATTAGAACTGGCGTACTTTGAACAGGAAGGCGATAATAGAGTCTGCGATCTGCATCTGAGGGGATAACGAGCGCACGTAAATAAATGGTGAACGTAAATTCTTTGACAAAATGGCTTCCTTTACCTAGAGACTTCATATGAGACAATAAATAAGGAATTCCCGAACAAGCATTAAGTAATTATTGCGCCGTTCGCGCCAGATGTCCATCGGAGAGAAGCCGTGATGCCTTGCGTAACTTTATCTCCGCGAAGTTACGTTCTGACCTTGTGCCGTTCACTTCGCTTAAAACCGCTTGAATGAATTGATTGCGTAAAATTGGCGTGGGCGTAGGATGTCCATTCTCGAAGCGAAATTGCCGTCTGTTAAGTGGTACGAAAGTAAAACCGTGTCAAACTACATTAGATTAAATCCTACACTAGAATTTACACCATACACTTTATTTATCGATATAGTAAAAAAACAGTTAAGTAGTACAGTAAAACCACGATACAGAATGTTATCTACCGATACATAACAGTGGATTATGATATAAAGTGTGGAGAAATCGTCCAATTTTCACATTTTGTGATTTATACTACATCACTAGAAACTGGTGATAGATAAATATGAAATAAGTATGGATTATGATTTATCGATGCATTAGGAATATTTTGTATTCATAACGTCTTTCTCCATAAGTTTTAGTTCTTACGTTATAGTTGATTTTATTACGACAAATCGTCCAATTTTAACATTTTCTGATTTATGATATATCACTTAAAACTGGTGATAGATAAATATGAAATAAGAATGGATTATGATTTCTTGGTGCATTACGAATACTTTTTATTATTACGTCTTTCTCCATCAGTTTTAGTACTTAGATTATAGTTGATTTTATTACGAAAAATCGTCCAATTTTGACATCTAATCATTTATGCTATATCACTAGAAACTGGTCACAGATAAATATGAAATAAGTATGGATTATGATTTCTTGATGCATTAGGAATATTTTTAATCACAACATCATTCTTCATAAGTTTTAGTACGTACGTTATAGTTGATTTTATTACGAAAAATCGTCCAATTTTGACGTTTTGTGATTTATGCTATATCACCAGAAACTGGTGATAGATAAATATGAAATAAGAATGGATTATGATTTCTTGGTGCATTACGAATACTTTTTATTCATAACGTCTTTCTCCATCAGTTTTAGTACTATTATTGTAGTGATAATTAAGAAAAATTGTCCAATTTTGACATTTTGTGATTTATACTACATCACTAGAAACTGGTGATAGATAAATATAAAATAAATATGGATTATGATTTCTTGATGCATTATTAATATTTTTTAATAATAATATCTTTCTTCATCAGTTTTAGTATTTAGGTTATAGTTTATTTTATTAAGAAAAATCGTTCAAGTCTGACATATTGTGATTTATGCTATATCACTAGAAAGTGGGGATAGGTAAATATGAAATAAGTGTGGATTATGATGTCATGATCCATTAGGAATATTTTCTATTCAAAACGTCTCTCTCCATCGGTTTTTGTACCAAAGTTATAGTTGATTTTATTTAAAAAATCGTCCAATTTGACATTTTCTGATTTATGCTGTATCACTAGACACTTCTGATAGATAACTATAAAATAATTATGAATTATGATTTCTTGATGCATTAGGAATATTTTTTATTCATAACGTCTTTCTCCATCAGTTTTAGTTTTTACGTTAAAGTTGATTTTTTCCAAAAAAATTGTCCAATTTTGACATTTTCTGATTTATGCTATATCACTAGAAACTGGTGAGAGATAAATATAAAATAAGTATGGATTATGATTTATGGATGCATTAGGAATATTTTTTATTCATAACGTCTTCCTCCATCAGTTTTTGTACTTAGGTTATAGTTGATTTTATTACGAAAAATCGTCCAATTTTGACATTTAGTCATTTATGCTATATCACTAGAAACTGGTCACAGATAAATATGAAATAAGTATGGATTTTGATTTCTTGATGCATTAGGAATATTTTTTAATCATAATGTCTTTCTCCATCAGTTTTAGTACGTACGTTATAGTTTATTTTATTAAGAAAAATCGTTCAAGTCTGACATATTGTGATCACTAAAAAGTGGTGATAGGTAAATATGAAATAAGTGTGGATTATGATTTCATGATGCATTAGGAATATTTTCTATTCACAACGTCTCTCTCCATCGGTTTAAGTACTTACGTGATAGTTGATTTTATTAAGAAACATCATCTAATTTTGACATTTTGTGGTATATGCTATATCACTACAAACTGGTGATAGATAAATATGAAATAAGTGCGGATTATGATTTCTTGGTGATTTAGGAATATTTTCTATTCATAACGTCTTCCTCCATCAGTTGTGGTACTTACGATACAGTTGATTTTATTAAAAAACATCATCCAATTTTGATATTTTGTGATTTATGCTGTGTCACTAGAAACTTGTGATAGATAAACGCGAATCTTTCTAGTTCTAGTGTTAGCTCTAGTTTTAGTTGTTATTCAGGAATATATATATAATATTTTTATTAAACTAAAAGTAGAACCAATTAATACAGAACGCAACAGTGTGGATAAGCTGTTCGAATTTATGTGCATTAAAATTATTTATTCAAACACTCTAAAGTGCAATTAAAATTTTTTTCATATAACAGACTTTTCTCTATAACGAACAAGGTGTGTCCTCGTATTAATAACGGATTAATCGAGGTTTAACTGTATTTGTATTTTCGCGTGAAATTAAATGTGATGAAAACAATCGGTTAGAAGTTTCTATGAGGTTTCTATACAGTGTGTTGAAGCCGAGAACCGATAAATCTCTTACAGGTTGTTAATTTTCGGCGAGTTCTCCGCAATAAGCGCGACAGGTGATTAATGCGAAGGCCCCCAAAGCGCCGTCAGTGACGTCAGTCAGTTCCAATTTGTGGTCGACCCACTTTGTTGGGAACCGGCGCTAAATCTAACTTGGCCATTGTGTGGCGAAACTTGTTCGACGCAGTAAACTCCTTGATCCGGCCAAATCAATTCCAATTCGTGAACTGGGGCCACCATAAACTCGCCAACTAAATGCGATTCCGTAACAAACAGCTACTTAATCTCAATGCATATAATTTTTTTCCAAAATTTATTGTAACGATAATAGCAAAGATTATTAAATTACAATGTAGTGAAGTGCAGTATAAAGTCAGTATAAAATAAAGCATGTCTATAAATTTAATGATTCGTACTTTTAATGGAAATAATCTGATCGGATTGAGTAGAACAATAGATACATTTATAGTATAACGTGTTCCGTAATTGCATGAGTTGCGAGAAAATGTCTTAATAATCACGCGAACCCATATATTCTAACAATGCTCTTCAATTACAACTGTAATTATCCCTAAGCCCGCAAAACTACACTAGAAAGCGCAATTCCCAATCCCATCATTATAACTGCTAAGAAACCGATTACATAACGAGCTTATTTATTTACATTAACCGTCTGGTGTCATTACAGACTCGATTACCATACATATTTGCTCGAACATTTAACGATTGCTATCAATATCCTATCACAGCTGTGTATTATTTATCTCATTCGCAGTAGTAATTATGAAATTCATGATTATAAAATACGTGATATATAAATACCAGCAATTTATCCTTATCGCACGGAATACATCTGTATGTCGTCCGAGCTTAAAATTCCATGTTAAATTCCGTAAATGTTACAGTAATCGAGGCGACTATAAATGCCAACCAATTATAAAATTATACATTATGATTGTATTTAATGAGAATAAATAGGAAGTCGCAGCAGGATATTTTGAAATTAGGTTAAAGGTAGCGAATTGGAGACTATCAAAACGTTTTACGACGCGCAACGTTATATTTGGCGTTCTGGATCGTTTTATTGCTCATTTAAATACTATGTCAACATCGTTAAACCCAACACACCGGCGACGATTATAGTGAATTCCTATCGATAATATTTGGGTTAATTACGGCATCCTGATTACATTGTGCGTGTGACCACAATGCATCGTGTCCCAAAGGAATTCTATACATGCGCGCGAGAGAAACCAATTTATTTCCATATACATGAGGATTATAATTAAAATTTAATTCTAATCTTCTCAACTTCTTCAATCTCGTTAGGATTTAATTGACTTATAATCGTATATTAACTACGATTCTACAAGCAGAAAATAGAGTCTTATCGCTAGAGCTAACAGACAACTTGGCCTTATTTACGATCAATTTACTCAAACAGCCCAACAAAAGGTTAAACAATTTACACTACGAGTGCTAATTGTCAATTTGCTCCAAGAACCGCTTAACGATTTATTTCCGACAAAAACAACGAATTAATGTTAAAAATAAAAAGTGATAATAATCTTACCTTTTCTCGTAGCATATCTCTTGTCCTCGTAGCCTGGGCTCTGCTCCTTTGCAACTCCAGCTGGAGTTCGAAGCACCGTTCCTGCCAATTGATCCCGTTGATGGATCCCGAGGGATGATGGTCTCCGGTGCTGGAACTAGGATGTTCCAACCCGTCATACTGCTGAGACACCACAACACCAACACTAACGGGTTCGCGAGGTCTTCTCGGTAGAAGCCTGGGACTGGCAGGAGTTGACCGGGTTTCCCTCGTCAACTCGCCGAGTCGTGACAAGGGATCGAAGACTTGGCTCAGTCTCCTGGGGGATTCCCTATCTTCGGCCATGTCTGCAGCACTTGCACCGCCTTCTCCTCATCGGGTACAACTTAAGTCACTTCCATAGCAACGACCCGTTTATTTTGCGCGTTATTATTTTTAAAGAAGGCACTAAATACTCTTAATTTCTTAAACAAATAGCAATTTAAACGGTACGAACGTCGACAGTTTGTTCTCGGTTTGGAGTGGTGGGATAAATCTTTTGGTAACATAAATAAAATTCACAACCACGTTTTCGGGTCCTCCTTTTAATAGCGATCTTCTCGCTGCTCTCTGTGGCGACGGTCCGGCCTCTTAGAAGAGTACTGCCGTGGTGTTTGTGCTATCCGAAGAGTAAATGCATGGGCATTGACCCCGTATTATAGCCGCTAGAGTAGTAGAAGTACTGAGAAGGCCGTCCGACATCGCGACGGCGACGCGATCGCCCCTCTGCCTTTATCTCTTCGCTTTCTCTCTCAAACAAACAAACCAAATACCAATTCTTCTTTTATATATTTTTACTCTTTATTCTACCGCGGATTTCGAGGCGAAGACTTAAACATCTGATACAACGCGAACGGACCAATATATACTTATATGAACAAGACAACAGTCAACAGGAATAAAACTCTACTATTTTTTCTATCGTTCTCTTTCTTTCTTTCTTTTCGGGCTCGCTCTAACTGTATGCCCTGCTTTGTGCGTGTTTGTTGTATCGCTGGAGTTTACTTTCGTTTCGCTAGGTACCTCCTGCGATCGCTCCTTTTATTTATCGCTTCCGGTATGCTACTACTTCCACTTCTACTACGAATAACTTTTTCTAAAATTCCTTTGAAGACATCTTGGACGACGGATTTCATTATTATCTGAAAATAAATAAAAATACAGTAAAATCTAGATATAACGGACAAAATATCTTTAAGTCATACTATTAATAAGTATTATCTATTTAACTCATCAATATATTTAAATATAAATTTTAGGGCTCATATGTAGATAGAATCCAATTCGGGTTGTATATTTTTATTGAAGGAAAAGTAGAACTAATACTAGACCTAGAACTAGAAACATTCAGGTTTAGCCGTACGTCTCTTAAAACGGCTAAACCGGAATGTTTCTAGTTCTAGGTCCAGTGTTAGTTCTAGTTTTAGTTGTTATACAGCGTTAGATTATTCTATATTTTTATTGAGCTAAAGTGGAACTAACACTAGACCGAGAACTAGAAACATTCAGATTTAGCCGTCTTAAGAGATGCACGGCTAAACCCGAATGTTTCCATTTCTAAGTCTAGTGTTAGTTCTAATGCTAGTGTTAGTTCTAGTGATGGAACGGATAGTGATTTTGCGAAAAGCCGGATACCGGATATTCGACGTCCCCTTCGGCCGGATGTATATATAATTTCTGGTACATTTCTGAAGTGACATTGCCACAATATTGCGATATTTGAATAAAAATGAAATTAATAAGAAAGCTGATAAGAATGTCAACTTATTTGGATCCAAGATACAAAATAAACTTTTTTGCTGCTGATTTAACTAACGAAGCTACTTTAAAAAGATTTCCACAAGGATCCTTCAAGAACTGAATTGTATAGCGAATTTTGAAAATTATCGATGAAAATTGCAACATCGAAAATTTAATCAAAACTTTAAATATTGTTTTCTCAAAAATTAAAACTTATTTTTCAAAACGGGTTGGTTCACTGGAAAGAGGACACTTTTATTAACCCTTTGGAAAATTTTCATACTCATATTCCAAAATCAATTGAAAGTGATTTTTCAAAACGACTTTTTGAAGAAGAAGATACTTTAATTAATAATCGAAAGTTATAACAGCGAAGTTCTGTTAGTAATGAATGTGATGATGAATTAGAAGCAAAGAGAAGGAAACTAGACGAAACTGCAAGGAGTGATTGAAGACAAATCTGATATAAATAAAGTTGTATTGAGGTTAAGTAAATTAAACTGGAATTTCCACATCGCCAAGGTGACCAGATCTGCCGCAGGCTTGAACTGGGCATATGTGGCAATAATTAGACCTCAAGACAGAGCAACAACAGTTGACACAAGTCCTGCGGCTAGTATGTCTTAATATAACGGTTGTAATGCGATCTTGTCCGACGGTTGCTCTTGAAGTCCTTCATCAACACCACTTCATCTGTACATACAAAAGGAGGCAGCTTTATCATTGAAGACATGCTCTTCACTTAAGTTAATGCAGGGTAACCTCAGAGGACATCTCGAAATTCTCAGGGACACATGGCTAAACCACTTGATTGAAATTAAAACGGATCATACATCGACAGAATATAATTTCGACCAGCCATAAAAGGTCATGTTTAGAAGCAGGGATAATTGAACGAAGGGTGAGCCTCAACTGAAACGAGTAGTCCTTGCCTGGTACATCGATGCTTCAACGATAGTTGGATCCGGACTAGGTATGAACAACAGTGGACCAAATAGCCGCATTAAGTTGCCTCTAAGCTCGTATACAACCATTTTTCAAGCTGTAGTTCTTTCCATAAACTTCTGCACTATTTGGAACATTGAAAAAGGAGAAAAAGAGGCATCGATAAACATTTTTAGCAAAAACAATCTCATCAAAAACTCACCAGGGACAATGAAGTTATTCTGTGGTGAGTTCCAGGTCACAAATATACCACTTAAAAGAGATAATTAATAGATGCTGGAAAGAACTTCTAGGATACAGACAGCAAAGAGGACCTAAGGTCACTCTCAGGCTTCCAGACCGGCCATACGCCCGTAAAATTCTATCTCTTCAACCTGGGACAAGCTGAGGATCAAACTTGTCGACTTTGCAACGAGTCAGAAATCGCTGAACATATTCTATGTGAATACGTCGCGAGAACTAAATTTTCGGAAAGGTTCGCCTGACACCTACTGACATAAAGGAACAAGACCTTGAAGCAATACTAAGGTTCATCAAAGACCTAGATTTACCCTAAACGTTTGGAAGGCTTAAGTTTAGTGCTGGACCGAATAGTGAGTTTGCGAAAAGTCGGATACTGGATATTCGGCATCCCCTTCGGCCGGATATCCATTTCTGAAGTGATACCCTACATTGTCACATTATTGCAATATTTGAATAAAAATGAAATTGATAAGAAGCTGATAAGATATATCAACTTATTTGGATCCAAGATACAAAATGAACTTTTTTGATGCTGATTTAACTAACGAAGCAACTCTAAAAAGAGGATACTTTAATTAATAATCGAAAGTGATAACAGCGACAGTTCTGAATAATAATGAATGTGATGATGAGTTACAAGCGAAGAGAAGAAAACTAGACGCAACTGTAACAAGAGATTTTATATATCGTATTGGAATTGTTACAATGAGGTTGCTAATGCCAAACCTGATATAAATACAGTTGTATTCAATGAAAAAAATCCTATTGGGGTTGAACTTGATTATTGTCTGCAGTGATCAACTCCTAAAAGAGATACTAATTCCTGTGAATGGTGGAGTACTAAGTAATAGGTTTTTAATATCCGGCCAAAGCCGACTATTTGGTAACTGTCCGGTACCCGGCCGGATTTTAAAAAATGGCGGGACCGGCTACCGGATAGTTGCCGGATATCCGTTCCACCACTAGTCAGTTCTAGTTTTAGTTGTTATTCAGCATTAGATTAAACCATATTTTTCATTGAACTAAAACTAGAACTAACACTAGACCTAGAACTAGATAGAAATAGATGAAGGTAATAGAAACTTCTTTCTCGCTAAATAATTTTAATTTCATTTACTCAAAAAACCGGTTTTCGGCCATATTCAGGCCATCATCAGTTTGAATCTACAAAAACAATATAAAAATGTAAATACATAATCGAATTAAATCACAATTTAAAATCTTTTCTTTACAACATTAAATAAAAAATAATAAAATAAAACTTACAGTCAAAGTTTTAAAAAAGATCGCCGAACCGTGACAATTGCACCACGTAAAAAATTATTATTTTTGAGCACATCAACACAAGCTAAAAAACGATGAAACAACGATAGGCCTAACAATATGATAAAATATTAAAACAATCCAAAAAAATTAACATACATATCTTGCACATTCAAAAAACGTACGAAAAAGAGGGCAGAAGGATAAAATATCATAAGACACCTCGAGTCGAAAATTATTACTATTACCTTCATCTATTTCTTAATTATAGTCCTCGCAATATGGATATACAATATAGAAAGTTTCAAGTTTAGTTAAATTCAAAATGTTTCATAAAACTGACTTTTGGATATAACGAATACTCCCTTCCCTGTATTAGTCCGTTATATCGAGATTTTACTGTATCATCGGATATTCTTCTTATGAAATAAATCGAAAAGTAAAGAAATGGATTTGATATAAGGACAAAACGTAAAATCGACATNTTATTAACTTTTGTTTTTCAAATTGCTCCATATATTTTTCTTCACGCCATTGGATAGAGATTCTTTTTCTAAATCCAATGATGTACAATACGTCCATTTTGAATGTAATTTTAGCAGAGAAAAGACACCTGTATATACGGGTTGTCACACAATAACGCCGCAAGCTGTAACTCTGTCATTTACTATCCGATTTTCATGAGCGAGGTATCAAATGAAATGGTTTGATGAATGCTACGATTCATGCTACAAATAAACTTTTTCCAATGCCCTCTTCAATTTTAAGCGATTATCAACTTTTGATTTTCAAATTGCGCGGTATATTTTTCTTCACGTTATTAGATAGATATTTCTTTTCTGAACCCATTAATGTATAATACATAACATTAATTGTAATTTTAGCAGAGAAAAACAATTAAAACATTTTCCGAACATTGTCTTGGTCACTTCTGTAATACTGTAGTGTGCCATGGAAAAAATAACACGCAAAACTGATAGCAGTGATTAAATGTTATATCAATGCCCGAAGCAGTTGTAAATGATACTTATAAGTTGTTCTTTTATTTATTCCATGGCACACTACAGTATAACACAAGTAACTTTAAGAGAATGTTAGGAAACTATTTCAATGTTTTTCTGTGCTACAATTACAATTAATGTTGATGTGTTGTACATTAAAGGATTCAGAAAAAGAATCTCTATCCAATAGCGTGAAGAAAAACATACCGCGCAATTTGAAAATCAAAAGTTGATAATCGTTTGAAATTGAAGAGGGCGTAGGAAAAAGTTTATTTGTACCATGAGTCATAGTATACATCAAACCTTTTCAATTGATATTTCGCTCATAAAAATCAGAATGTAAATGACAGAGTTACAGCTTGCGGCATTCTTGTGTGACAATCTGTATATATAGGTGTCTTTTTTCTGCTAAAATTACATTTAAAATGGATATATTGTACATCAATGGATTCAGAAAAACAATCTCTATCCAATGACGTGAAGAAAAATATACGCAGCAATTTGAAAAACAAAAGTGAATAATTGTTTGAAATTGAATATGGCGTTGGAAAACATTTATTTGTAGCATGAATCATAGTATTCATCAAACCATTTCATTTGATGCCTTGCTCATGAAAATCGGAATGTATATAACAGAATTACAGGTTGGGGCGTTTTTTGTGTGACACCCTGTATATATAATTTCTAGTACATTTCTGAAGAGATACCCTACATTGCCACATTATTGCGATATTTGAATAAAAATGAAATTAATAAGAAAGCTGATAATGTGGAGGTATATAAATATGGTCCACAATATAAATAAATATATATTTTAATAATATTAATATTTTAATAAAATGATAAAATGAACCGTACACGTGTATTTATAATAATTTGAATGTATGATAAATGATAAATAATAATAATTGATTTTGTTTAGCAACACGATCTTGATTTTTTACATGTCATGTGCACAGCATGCTACAGCCACTTCCCCTCCTATAAAGATTAATAAAAAGAGGAATATGGTGGTTAAAGAAAAAAAAATTCATATTTAAAAATTGAAAGTAACTTTTTTTTGAATTTTTATATTATGAGAATTGTTTGCCTCGCTGTGGTGACATGTTGAATTTTCTTTTAAAAGAAATGCTGGTTTAAGGTTGTTGATGTTAACAGCTACTTCCTTGTCATTTTTGAAAATTCGTATGAATGTCAACATATTTGGATCCAAGATACAAAATGAACTTATTTGATGCTGATTTAACTAACGAAGCAACTCTAAAAAGAGGATACTTTAATTAATAATTGGTGATATTTCCACAAGGATCCTTCAAGAAATGAATTTTATAGCGAATTTTGAAAATTATCGATGAAAATTGCAACATCGAAAATGTTATCAAAACTTCAAATATTGTTTTCACAAAAACTAAAAGTTATTTTTCAAAACGGGTTCGTTCATTGGAAAGAGGACGCTCTTATTGACACTTTGGGAAATTTTCATACTCATATTCCAAGAAATGGATTTTATACGAATTTTTAAAACTTAATCGGCGAAAATTGCAAAATTCGACAAAATTGTCGATCATTTCAAAAATTTATTTCGCAAAACCTAAAAGCGATTTTTCAAAACGGCTTTTTGCATTAAAAAGAGGATACTTTAATTAATAATTAGTGATACTTTCACAAGGATCGTTCAAGAAATTAATTTTATAGCGAATTTTGAAAATTGCAACATCGAAAATGTTATCAAAATTTCAAATATTGTTTTCTCATAAATTAAAACTTATTTTTCAAAACGGGTTGGTTTATTGGAAAGAGGACACTTTCATTAACACTTTGGAAAATTTTCATACTCATATTCCAAGAACTGGATTTTTAACTGAAAGATCAACTGTAAGTGATACAAGCCGACTATTTGGTAACTATCCGGTATCCGGCCGGATTTTAAAAAATTGCCGGATAGGTCAGCTACCGGATACTTGCCGGATATCTGTTCCACCACTAGTTAGTTCTAGTTTCAGTTGTTATTCAGCATTAGATTAAACCATATTTTTCATTGAACTAAAACTAGAACTAACACTAGACCTAGAACTAGAAAGTTTCAAGTTTAGTTAAATTAAAAATGTTTCATAAAACGGACTTTTGGATATAACGAATACTCCCTTCCCTGTATTAGTCCGTTACATCGAGATTTTACTGTATCATCGGATATTCTTCTTATGAAATAAATCGAAAAGTAAAGAAATGGATTTGATATAAGGACAAAACGTAAAATCGACATGGGACAAGTTGGAAGATGAGATAAGAGAAGGGGCAGCGTGAATTTGAATTTATGATGGGCGGCCAGGTCGTAAAGAAAAATTGATGGGCGAGTCTTTTAAGTCGCGTTTTAAGGTACCGTCACTGTTCGGTTTATCGGGACGGCATAAAGTTTTATGTCGAGATTGGATTTCTGTGTAATAGCGACGGATATATCACGCGCACGAAATTTCGGACCATTTTTTATTGATTCCGGACCTTATCAAGCTATTTTATACGGCGATGTTTTATGCTATCTCGGTCGCGTGATAACTCGTCAATTTATTGTACCTTAAAATTCTTTTAATAACGAATTGGGACTATTTTTCAGTGTTCACGTAACGATGAGAACGACAGAATAGATGTCAATTAACTCGAAGGATTAAAGGTGCTGTTGACCTCGACCTTTTAATTCATTGGGACACTCCGACAGTACAATTGATCCAGCGCCAGAAAATTTACAATTCTAATTCCAAGTTTTGATGTCTGTCCTTTTCATCGGTCGATGGAGACGGTACAATTAGAGACAATCAATTTTACACGGTCAATTAAGATCTAAATGTCTTGTTGCAAAATAATTTATGCAAACGTTTTATGCGCGTTTTATGAAATATGGCATGAGAAATGTTTCATTTTTTCGCGACCCACATTTCGTTCACGTTTTTTGCCCAACAGGGGAGCTTTCAGAAGGATTTCAGACCCGCAGAAGCGCGGTCGAGCTTTTTGCGAGTCCGAAGGATTTTTCTCGGCCTCCCGCAGTGACTGGAAGGCGGGTAATAAATGATTCCTGATACAAGAAGTGTGGAACGCGCTGCGTTGGCGACCCGACGGGCGTCGTTTTTTTTCTCACATCACGACCCTCAGACGCCAGGAGGTATAAAGTACGCAGAAAATCCCACCTACCAGAAATCCTAGCTAATGGGCCGACGCTTGCGAATTTCCCGGGCAATAAAAAGAGAAAATCCATAAAAAGGACGCCATCTTCTGCAAGCTACAAGGCTACCACTTCGGACTGAAGGGATCTGTCGTAAAGGGAATTTGATTGATAGAGTGCTGATTGAATAGGTCATTTACAACGAGCACGGTAATTGAGTTGTTTCGAATTGAATTATCTAACGAACGCCAATACAAACATTTGATTTAAGAAAAAAGCGAAAGATCAGCATTTATTGAATAACGGATTCGTTAGAATTATAAATGTATCATATCAACTAAATGTGATGTAATTCAATAACATCGATCCTCTTATTGCTTAACTTTTATTGCTTCCTCTCTTGTGATTCGTTCGAAAAGTTTTTATCGGTCGCTTGTAAAAACGTCTCCCAAAACTTCCCTAAATCAATTTGCCCGGTGTCGTTCCAAAACCATTCCGAGTTCGAAATTCAATTAATTGTCCGATAAAATTGGGCCAATCAGGCCGAAGCCCTTGAATATTAATTTCCGCCTTAGCTTGTCCATTTTTGTCCCCATTCCCCTTTTCCGGTGTTCCGATGAAGTCGTTCCATGCATATTAAAAAAAATTTGTAATTGGTTTGCCGCTAAATTAGCCGGCTATTAATCGATTAATTCCATCAGATTGAAAATGTTTCGAAATCGTACGCACAGGCACGCAAACTTCGCTATTTTACCTTTTCTCTCTTCGCCCGTCATCGCTGGTTGGTTCGTTTCGGGTAATTCGTATGCCGAGAACGTGGAGAAGCTATGAATATTAAGAGGAAGTAAAAAGTGTGGTAGACGTTTACTTGTTTTACGTGTAGTCGCATGATTTATCGCGCGAGAAAGGAAATAAACTGCGACGCAGCTTACAAATAAAGATATATTCATGCATATTCGTCCAGCGTGAATATTGTATGCATGAAAAATAGTTGGGCGGTTTCAGTAAAAACATGCTACTTCAAGACTGCAAATAACATCCATTTTTAAAAAATAAATAATTTATTAATAACACAAAAAATAAACAAACAATTTTGTATCTATTCCTATATTCATCGCTTTTTAACTTGATCATAATTTTCTTGATACTCTTCTTGTTGTGGACTGTTTCTTAAATGTGGATGTGGTGGTAAATATTCTGGTATTTGAAGATCTGTATTTCCAGGTTGGTAGAACCTGGGATGCTCGTCATAACCTTGTTGTGGTTCTTCTTGTTGTTGACTAGCATGTTGAAAATGTTGATCGAAATTAATCTGAGGTTGTCCTTCTTGTTGTTGTTGTCCAAAATCCAATTGATTATTTATATTATTAACGTTATAATTGGGAAGTCGACGTGCGAAATAAAAATAGTTATGCGGTTGTTCTTGTTGAACCGATTGATCGGTTGGTAAAGGATTTGGAGCATCTGATGGTTGAATATTATTAAAATTATGTTGAACATTATTAAAATTCGGTTGAATATTTTGAAATCCAGGTTGAATATTATGAAATCCAGGTTGAATATTATGAAATCCAGGTTGGATATTCGGATAACCAGGTTGAGTATTAGGTTCAATTGGAAGTTGAGGCTGTGGAATAACTCCCGATGGAACTTGGTGAATTACATTTGGTTGAATTGGTTGTGGATAGTTAGGCTGGAAATGATGCAGATGAATATGATTCGGCTCTGGATGATTCGTTTGAATAGGAGTGAAACCTCCTTCTAATTGGACGTTGGGAATTTTAGGAACCACGTGAACGTGTGGTTGTTGATGTTGGATTAATAGAGGTCTTTGAATAAATTGAGGATGTTGTATTAATACTGGTTTGTGTACTGCGTGAGGAGATTGCGAATTTACTTGAACTGGAACGTTAGCGCCCAAAGGAAGAACACCTAAATCTGGAACTGGGACATGTTTACCTGGTATAAAATTAATAGGTACCAATGGCTTTTGAACCAAAACAGGAGGATGAATTGGTTGTATTGGAACAGATGTGGGTAAAGGAATTAAGGATGGTTGTGGTGCAGGAAGAACGGGAGTTGGAATTGGTAGAGGAGCAGGTAAATGTGTAGGTAAAGCTAAATTAGGATGCACAGGTAAAGGTACAAATGGTTTTGGTAAAAAGTGCACAGTTGTGATGCCTGGGTGCGAATGTGGAACAACATTGATATGAGGATGCGCTGGAAGTGCTGTTGGTATTATTGGCTGAATGGGATGTGGCAGTACAGGACTAGGTAAAAGAGGTTGCACAGGACTGGGTAAAACTGGTTGTACGGGGCTAGGTAAAACGGGTTGTACAGGACTTGGTAAAATAGGTTGAACGGGCGTAGATGGTATAATAGGATTAACTGGTAATGAAGGTTCAAGAGGAGGAATTGATGGGTTAGGATCTGGAGATGATGGAATAAATCCTGGGGGTCCATACACTGGTTTCACATCCCATCCTTGCGTTTCTGATAGTTTTTGCGGCGCACTCGGCGGAACGTTTGCAGGCAAAGTTTTGTACAACGGGTTCACTTTTGGTGGTACCAAAGACACTGTAGGTTTCCTAAATTGTTGCAAATTTTGTCGATTGTAACCCTGTACTCTCATGGGCCTTGGTTTATAATTATACAACGGTTGAGCAACTGGTAAATATTGAAGTTTAACCGGTCTATAACCCAAAAACTGCTTTTGTCCTCCTCGAAATCTAACGTGTTTCTCCAACGCATATTTTGTGGAATCATCACCAAATAAAAATCGTTTACTTTGATCACTATCTTCCGCATCCTCTTCTGTTTGAGAAATCGGATTGAGATCTTCATGATCAGTTTCCTCTAGATTTTCAGCTAGTGCACAACTGATATAGAAGAGGAAGAAGCAAACCAGCTAAAAGAATTGATCTTACATATCGTAATATTTTTGAAATATCCAAAACATACCTCCAATCTCATGACCTCTACTTATATTTTATAACAAATCGAAGCAATTACCGCACTCGATGCGAACCACATAAATAAAACGGATCAACTAACCGGCGAACTGACTTTCTTTTTGTTTTTATATCGCTCGTTTCCTCATTACACGCTGCGCCTAACAATTAGCCGAAAAGATTTCTACTGTTACATTTGGACAACAGTGTCAACGCTAAAGAAAGTGGCGCCGTGCCTCTCCGTATTTGTTAATCTCAGGATCCAATATTTTCAACTGCGATAGCTATCTATTGTTTTGGGATGGTGCAAAAGTGAAAAGAAAAGATATCAATTTCAAGAAAATAAAATTTACGTCCACACAGATATCAAAAGCGTAATTTTACGAACTGGAATTTATTATTTTTACGATATCCAACATGTTCGTATAATTTCAAAAGATAGTAAAAATGCTGCAAGCAACTAATATTATCATTATTATATGGTAAAGGTTTCGTTTTCAAATAAACTTTGTCAAGTCACACAAAACTGGTTACTATGCAGGACACACATTCGCGAACTCTTTTTGTTTGCAACCTTCTGTCTGCACGTCACGGGATTCTCTCGTCTCGTCGGCGCATTCGGGAAATCTCTGGTCCTTCAACGCCCCCGTGCAACTGTTACTGCATTGATAATACTGCCATGTAGCCGGCTTTCAAATGCGGAATCGTTTCCAAAAGATCTAAATAATGAGACGGTTCGAGGAAAAGATATTTCGTGTCTGTGACATCGTCTACACGTGTATTTACATTTCGTTATGGTTCTGAAAATAGCAAACAGCTCCTGCGAGACTCCGTTTTTATTTGTCAAATTTAGTTGATGGGCGGAACGAAGCAAATCGTTACGTGTGTTTCGCTCGGCGAGCCGTTTTTTTAACGCCCTTTAGACGGCAGCGGCAATAAATCGCACAGAGCCGTATTTATAGTTTCGAAACAGGTGCGGATTGCTTTGTTATTGGTGTCATTTTTAGCTCACAATCTCTTCCTATATTTAAGAAGACTTTTATAGCCCTCCAATATACTTTCTTAATTAACCGATTAGAAAAAACTTAATATTAATACAATCGCGCTAACACTAGAGCTAACACTAGCACCAGAACTAACACTGGTGTACGGCTAAACCCGAATGTTTCTAGTTCTAGGTCTACTGTTAGTTCTAGATTTAATTGTTATTCAGCGCTGACGTCACCAACGGGCCTTTGAGCTGTGCATCTATTTCCAGGATATAGCAGTCAGATTCTACAGTCCTTGGTATAAATATAAACCCAGCTAGACTGAAATAGGTGTGGATAGCTGTCAGAATTTGTGTGCATTAAAATTATTCATATAACGGACTTATGGCTATAACGGACACTCCTTTCCTTCCGTTACATCGAGGTTTTACTGTACTAGTTTAACTGCGTTGAACGCCAACTGAACGGTGTTTATTCTTTGACTTTTAAAATTAGCATCTTAAGTTCGTTTCCGGTTGCGTAATAAAACCTTCGGCACCGTCTTATTTCTATGCATCCGTGCCGAAGCATAAATCACCTGCATTGAGAGCGCGCAAGCTAATTATACTTCAATCTGAAAATTAACACTTTCACTCACTTCTTACGGCCGGCGTGCGCTTGAATACTAAACTCGCCTAATTCGGTAACGGACGTGTCCCGTAACTGGTCAAAGAATCGTGACGGAATTGCTGAATTAAAATTGAAATGGCACACTGGAGATGACGATCACATCGTACCGCCTAGGCGTAGTTTATTCAGAGCAATTTGCGAACGAATAATTTAGTTGATGGCCTCTACGGGCGCCACAGAAACTAGCCGTTAAAGTTAGTGCAGGTAATACGACGAGGCACGTAAGCGCCTAATTATACTCAAGAATTACTCCTAAAATGGAGTACGTGAATCATACGTTTTCATATAATCAAAGTTCGTTTAATGGAAAACTTGATCCTTTTCATAGTTTAAATCTGAGCATTTGTTGGTGAATTCTAAAATAACATCAGTTGAATTGCCGAATAACGAAATTACTACAAACAGCGTGGGTATACAGTTGATAGTATTAAGGGGCCGTGGCCTGGAGCATTATCTCGTTACCTCGAGAGTCCGCATTAATAGACTTGGCAGTTTTCAGAGAAGTACAGCCAAAGCGGGACACGGTCTCAAACGTTGAAAAAGGACCTGCCCGGCGCCGCCGCCATTTCAGTTCAGTCTCCCTGATTAGCCTCGGGCGGGCGTCGGGATGCTCGTCTAATAACCAAAAAGGAAACGGCAAATGCAACCCTATTACGCAGTAATTCTATTGCCCCTGAGGGCTGCCAAAGAAATAACAGAATTGTTATTTGGCTAAAAATAAGAATAAAACGTCGTCTGCAAACGCCAATCAGTCACTTTGATTAACTTTACCGGGGCGGAATAAAGCGCTCTTTGGACCGCTGCGGTAAATAGCGGCCGGAACACGGTTCGCTGCGGTCTAATTGTAGAATTGCAGGGCCATTTTACATCCGGCGTGCTATTTAATGGAACCGAGCCACAACGCAAAGCAAACAGTACGGCGCCCGATAGTATTGTTTTCAATCGATAGCCACGTTTTAGATGAACAAACCCAGGGGCCGGACCCTTAAATTCATCAACGTAAATCATTTTAATTGTAGAAAATTAGAGTACGAATTGCCGCGATAGTTCCCGAATTAATCAAGTTGTTTGGGGTACACAACCCCAGACTCCGATCGATCTGCAAATTTCTAGAGACAAATCGCGCGGTTTCAGGGTTACATCCACTGCTTGAGCCTGCGTCAGATGCATCACGTAATGCCACAGTTTCTGGTGCAGGGGTTAATGAAGTGATTACTGAACTTTGGGGAATTATCTGTGCAGTGTTGGGTGTTACAGTTCGTCGGCTAATATGTTTCCAGTTGGATAAATCTTTTGGTAACGTTAAATGTTTTGGAAAACGCATCCTGTGGACACCCTCAACATAAATAGAAGTAAAAAATACAATACTCTTAAATATTAAAGAAAGAAAAACATTTTTATACCCCGAACGTGAAGAAGATATAAAACCATACGAATGAAATTCAATACTATACTGAAATAAATTGCGGTTGCTCTCCATCAGCGCTTCGAGAGCGAGACGCTGAAAGATGATTTACATTTATGGTGTTGAGAAAAAATGCCATAAAGGTTCCGTTTTCCGATAATAACACCGAAAGGATTAAAAAATTTACGACCCGTTTTATGTTCCTCCAATAGCAGCTGTGTATGAACACCAAATGGAATCAGACAATTTTCACAAAAATATTCTTGAAAAATTTCATTTAGATACATTATTTAATTGAATTTGATACTATGTAACTCATGAAAACTTCTATCTTTTACACTCCATAAACCGTGTCTGTCCATAAATCCTTACTACTTAACACTTCAGTTTTATAGTGATGTTACCTCCAGAATTACTCAACTTACAATATAGCACATTTTCATTCGAATATCCCTTATACATAATTAATTTTTTGAGCAACATTTTAAAACTTTCAAGATGCTGTAAAATTATCTCCAAGTCCCATTTTCAATTACAAAGAACGATCACCCTCCCCGAGAAAAAAAAACGACCTGGGGCTGAAGCGAGTTCGGAAGAACTAAAGAGGTGAAATTTTTCAAAGGGTGGCACAAATTTCCAGGATCACCTCAGGTGCCTTTTAAAAATCGACGCTCCAAAACTGTCAGGGTCGAGATAAGGAGAACATAAACAACTGGGGCGAGGAGACTTCGAGGACAGCCGGAGGGGGCACAGAGGGGATACGAAAGGGGAGCGTCGGTAGAAGGGGCACTGTGTCGGGCGACCCTTCCGTAACCCGTAAAAGAAGATAAGCGATAAGCGTAATCGGAGACATAATTTAAGCCAGACTTCTGGCCCGGACGACTCTTCTGCTTTCCAGAGCTCGGGTTCAGGTGTTAACACCAACGAAAAAAGTGCCTATCTGATAGTTTTCTTGTTTATAAAGAGTTTACTAGTTGATTTTTTTGTTATAAAAAAAAACACTTTTAAATCTGAACTCAAAGTAGGTTATGCAAAATAGAAGCGAATTTGCATGAAAGACCTGAAAATAGAAACCATCGTGGCTTTTGTGTTATTTAATACCGTTGTCGGGAAATATTTATGCGCGATTTAAAACAAGAAGGACTAAAAGTGGAACTAACACTAAAACTAGAAGTAAACACATTCAGGTTTTTAGTCGTACGCGTCTTAAGACGGCTAAACCCGAATGATTCTAGTTCTAGATCTAGTATTAGTTCTAGTATCAGTGGTAGGTAGCGCTAGTTAGCACTAGATATATAGCGTTGTATACTTTTATTGAACTAAAACTAGAACTAACACTAGACCTAGAACTACAAAATTTCGGGTTTATACGCAACCAAGATTCTGCCTCGGCCGCAAACGACCTCGGCTGATGATGCAATATCCCAACCTTATTATACAAATTGCTATTGTATACTAAGGCATAACAGGTGCAGTTTTGCTGATTATGAAAGTTTGTTAAAGTGCAGGATTTTGACCGATGCTCTGTAATGAAGCTGCATAAAGATAAGACCCTATATGTATAGAAATACTGCCTCGGTCGCAAGCGACCCCCACTTGAAGGTACATCATCGCAACCTTGTTATATAAATAGCTACTGTATACTGAGGCAAGAAAGGTGTATTTTTGCTAGTAACAAAGGTTTGTAGCCGAGGTCACTTATAAAGCTTTATGAAGATTAAACGAAACCAAGGTTCTGCCTCGGCCGCAAGCGACCTCGGCTTAACGATTCACCATCCAAATCTTATTATGTTACCTATTGTGTACTGAGGCAAGGAATATGCATATTTGCATGTTATAATGGTTTGTAGCCGAGGTCGCTTGAGGACAAGGCGTTACAATGAAGCTCCATGGAGATAAAACGTTATAGATATACTGCCTCGGCCGCAAGCGACCTCGGCTTGAAGATAAGACATCGCAATCTTGTTATACAAACAGTTATGGTATACCAAGCTATATTAGTGCTTCTTATGAAGGTTTACAGCCGAGGCAAAGATTAAAGAGTGAACAAGATGCGACGCTTCGT